AAATACAAAATGGTGCCGTGCCTCTCTCCCTTGCTCCCTGGGATGAAGCGAGCCGCCACACTGTGAGCTGCTGTGTGGGGTGCGGTCCCTGGGGACACCCCAGCCAATAGCCAGCAAGGACGTGAGGTCCTCCGTCTAATGCCCCACTGAAAGCGAACCCTGTCAACAACCACTGTGGGAGCTTGAAGTGTATCCACCTCGAGTCCAGCCAGCAGGTGACCGACGCCCCGCCCACGGCTTGACAGCAGCCTGCCAGTGGCCTGGATTCCTGACCCCGGGACACTGTGACATAATATGCGTTTGCTGCTTTCACACGCTAAGTTCTGGGGTCATTGGTTACATAGCAATAGATAACTAGTACAGGGCAGGTGAGGCAGTGAGGATGCAAACACATACATCGAGGGGAAAAGGCATTTACTCTCTACTTCTAAGAAAGGTGTCATTGGGCTCTGGTGGAGGAAAATCTGTCTCCCCACCTGTATTTGTCTTCCTTTTTCTTTGTTTCACTCTCCGGAGGAGGCCGGTTGTTGGGAGGCGGAGGGGATTGAGGCGCAGGTAGCCTGAGCGGCAAGCCGCGCAGAGGCCCCTCTAGGATGGAGGCCGGGGTCCCCACTCTTCCCCCGAGGGCATGCGGCTGGAGCCCGCGCCCCAGGAGCCTCCGGGGCCTGTGCGTCCTCCTCCCGGTCTCCCATCAGGACGGGGCGGACAGATGGCCTAGACACGGGATCAGGCTCGCTTTTCCTCTAACTTTTGTTCTCATCACCAGCGGAGGTGCCGCGGCCTTTCGCTGCATGGCAGAGGCGAGCTTCAGTGTTTGGATTCAGGCTGCAAGATAGGAGCCTGAGGCCTGTGGGTCTGCTGCTTCCTCGAGGCTCCTCGGCGACCTGAGTCAGCGGGGGTCCAGCCGCACGCTAGCGGTCTCCACTGCAGCTCTGAGAGTCACTGCTGTTCCCTCACCCTGGTGGCTTGCGGGGCGGTTTCATTGGGCGAGGGCCCGTACCCAGGAGCTTCTCCCGCCCTCGGGGCTGACATGGGGAGGATCGGGGATAAGGTTCCGGGAATCCTGGATACGTCGGCCAATGTTTCCTCAATGGTACCCCAACTCACCCTTTCCTGCTGCAGGCCGAGGCCAAGGACACATGGGTCACAACGCAATGGGGGGGGGGGGACCATTGTGGGGGTGGGGGGGTACTAGGGCGTGCAGAGTGAGGTTCAGGCTGCTGTCTGCTAAGACAAGACCTTCTCTTGTGAGCTGGCCTGGGGTTTGACGTATAGACTGGCCAACGCCAGCTTTAAGAAGAAAACAGTCATTATTTTAGACTTGACTTTTTTCTTGGTTTTATCTTTCCTTCTTTTTCTCTTAACCTTTCTCAAACAATAATCTGCGGCCCAGGCTAAGTGTAGGTCAGAGGAAAGAGGACAGAGACCACGGTGCCCTGGCCCCGTCTCCCTCACTGGAGTTCTCAGGGTCACAAGTGCCTCGCCTCTTCCCATCCCCCCAACCACCTGGACAGAGTCCCCGCTGCAATGTTCAGAGGGCAAATAGCCAACAGCAACATTTCCCAAATTTCCCTCCAGAGCCTGCTCCTATGTCCTAGATGCAGAAAGGGCCCTGATGTTTTAGAAACATCAGCGGGATTTTTCAGGGCCTTTTCCAAGATGTGAGATGCATTATGCAGGGTTTTCCAAACATACTTGACTCTGGAATCGTTTCCTGCAAAGCATCTCATGGTATAAGACCTCTTCGGAACACACGTGGGGTAAAATCTATCCAAAGAAATAAATCATGTCCATGTGCTGAACATCCCACAGACAGAGGTCCCTCCGGAAGCTGGATTCAGGTGGTAGGCAGCGGCTTCCTCACTTGCTTACCATGTAGACATGACCAAGCACTAAGTAAACGAAGACCCCAGTGGCTTTGATTCACACTTATTTGCTGTCTTACTCAGATTTTGTGACTCTCTTCGCAGAAATTCTCTTTTCCTTCCGCTAATAGTACACCATTTCTTGGTGTTAGTAGTTCCCCAGAAAACAGCGGTTTATTTCAATTACTCTAAGTAGATGTGAATCACCCCTCATTCTGTAGGAGCATCTTAGAAAATGCTTTCCAATCCTGACATTTTAAACTAAAAACCTCACTAAAACCTAAACATGTCTAAAATTTAACTGTAGGCACGGACCCAGGATTTAGTCCTCAGCGTAGTATCTGATCGATCCCTCTGACCCCCTCAGCTTTGCTTCTATCCCCACACTGGCTCAGCGTCCTGTCTCCCCGCCTTGCAGGAGCCAGCGCCCTGCAGAGCCCATCCTGAGCCCGAGCACCTCCTTAGGAAGCAGTCGCGTCCTAGAGCAGCAGAGCCCGGGAAGGCTGCTGTATTGCCCCTCGCCCCCGCCCATTGCGCAGATGCCTCACATTCCCGGAATGGAAGAGCTCAGGCCGGTCCTACTGGCTTGGCCAAGAACCCAGCCAGCGGCAGCCTCTGTGGGCCGCGCCCGGCACTTGGGCTTGGCCTGCGTTACCGGAGTACTGGCATGCAAAACACAAAAACGGTGCGCAGGAGTTGCTTCTTGCCAGGAGGCTTATTTGCATCTGTGGGAGGGAAAGGGAAAGGAAAGGATTCAAACCTTCGGTCTATAGCACTAGTCCTGTCTTCTTGTTTTTCCCCTTCCTTCAAGCAGGTACAAATGAGGTGTGGCTTTTGGGAGGTGATGACGTCACGAGGGTGGAGCCCGCACGATGTCATCGTAAGAGACCTGAGAGAGCTGCCTTCTCCCTTCCACCAAGCCAGGTGACAGGGAGAAGTCAGCCGTCTGCAACCTGGGGACAGGCCCTAACCAGACGCCAGGTCTGCCAGAGTCCTAGTCATGGCCTCCCCAGCCTCCGGAGGGGCGAGAGGCGAATGTTTGTTGTGTACGCCACCCGGTCCGTGGAATTTTGCTATAGCAGCCAGAATGGACTAGGACTTGTCTTCGATATCAGGGATTATGTATATGTGCCTATCTGTGTACTGTTGTTTGTAGGAGTAACTCTCAATGAGGAGCAGCTGAATGAGCCTGGGATGAGTGGACCTCACTCAAAGGACGGTCGGGAAAAGGTGATATAAGGTTAGAAGGCTGGGTCTGCACCTTACCTCTGCACTTTATTAGCTGAGTGGCCTTGGGTGACTCATTTTTAGTACTTAAACCAGTTTCTCATGAGTGACATGAAGTTATTCACCTTTCTACCTATGCCTGTGTGTAATCTGCATAGAAAGATATTTAGGATTAACGTTGATTGAAGGATTTGGGAATTGGGTGGCTTTCCCCCTTTATTCTTTGTAGTTTTCACAAATATCTAATTTTTTTAAAGGTGAAAATGTTTTATCCAAAATATTGTCATTGTAAAATTGTAATCACGATAAAACAATGAAATATTTAATATTTTCACACTTTTGAAATGGGAGAATCTTATACAAAAATTCCCCTACATCAAGTATCATTTCTTCAGTTTCTTTTTTCCTAACTTGTGTGCACTTAAAAAGGCGTTTGTATTTTAATCTTTTAAGTAGATAATCTTCTACCTTCTGCTCCACTAATAAGTCTGAGAGGAATCTTTAGACAGTAACATGAGGAGTACTGTTCTACAAAAATATCAGAGGAAACAAGACATCTCCTTGCCTGGAAGAACAGCAGACCTTTTAAAAAACCTTACACTTCAAAGGAAATAAGAAAACGAAAACGAGAAGGGAAAAAAACCCCCCAACATTCAGTTAATATCGAAAAAGTATAAAACCAATTTAAATTGGCCATTTAACAAATGAAGTACCACTATGTCTCATTAGTATTTATATGGACATATGGATGATCGAAATTAAGAAACAAGAGGTCAGCAGCTGTTTTAGGGAGTTGGTAACAATTTGCTCTGCCTCCCAGTCCCAGAGGTCATAGGGGTTCCCAGCTGCATGGCGCTGTATTCCGTTAGCAATTTGTAAGTCCACCTGCGGATCTCCACCAACCCATAAACTCTGTAACTTGGGAGATCGCCCAAATACTATTTTTCAGTCACAAAGAAATTCTCCCAATTGAAATTAGAGTATGATCAATTTAAATACTTTACAAATGCTTCCAATGAGAATATAAAGCTAACCAGAAGCTATTTCTCTGTGACTCTGAACTACAGGCCCATTTTCCTAATTTAAGTATTTGAGTTGCTGTCTACAGTGCCTCTGTTATATTCATTCAGATTATTCCTATATTCTAAAACAATGGGGCTTCTAAACTGGTGCAATGTTGCCAGGGGATTTCAACAGAGTTTGAAGGCAACAGAACCCAAAGGCATAGTTTATATTGGCTTAGGGAATGAATGGGCTCCTTATCAGAGCAGCTGAAGCTGTACATAATTAACAGCACCTGTCAACATTCACAGGGCCCCATATAGAACGGGTGGGCCCTACAGCCGCCCAGAGCCGCAGCCTCCGCTCCTGGCACCTCCAACCACCCAGGACCTGCACAGAAGACAGCTCCCAGGCATCACTAGAAGAGCACCGATACATTTTAGTGATACTAGCAGGACCGCAAACGCTAATTAATGCTCTCCAGAGTAATTCTGACAGCATTGGCACCGAGACTTCAAATTAGCTAGCTAGCATTAAAAAACATAAAATACTTTAAGTTTATACGTGATTACTGGTTTTTAAATCTTTCTTGTTATTTCTCTTTATAAATGGTATGAAAATGTTCTACTAACCTTCCTTTTTATAGGATGAAGCCTCAATTTTATTCAGCTTGGCTATCTCCGTATGAAGAGGGTTAAATTCATTTGGTGGCTATTTCCGGTTGTTCTTGTGTATATTAAAAACATTTCAGTCATGAACATGTACAAAAGCAAATAAAATCCAGAGGAAATTTCATTAAATAAATTTATTTGTTAAAATAATTTAACTCCAAATACAACTGTTGAATTTGCATTGAGTTATAACTACAATTCGTGTTTTAATTGAAATGTCAAGGTTTAACAACTGACATTGTTACAAAACAATAAAGTGTTGTTCAATTTTAAATGGCCAGTTGTATTAGAGCTCAACAATGAACTGTGAACTATATTTTTCTCTGGGAAACCCCAAATCAATAATGATAAGTCTGTTTCCAAAACCCACTGCAGTCATTCCTGAAACCCTGATCAAGATTTAATAGGTGCACAATGACGTGTCAATTAAAAAAAGAAAAGACCCCCACAGGCTTTAACATTTGATTGGCTAAGGAGACAACGAAAGCTTACCCAGTGCTAACACAAGACTACTGAGAAGAATAAAAAACTAAAAAACAAAAAAAAAAAAACAACCCAACAGCAACAAGTAAAATGAGCACTTCCATACTCACACGTAAACAGACGACAGTCTCACTGGACAACTCTTGAAAACAAATAGCAGACATCCTTAGGCAACATTTTTTTTATAAAGAAAAGCAAATCTCAGTAGTTACACCACAGAAGAGTGATGGCAACTGTCGTGATGAGAGTCAAGTTCAGTCCTAATGCTACAAACCAAAGGAGAAAATCATCAAAGCACCTTTCAATAGTTTAAGATTTTATGTAATACTTTTGATCGGATGCTGGCCTGTTTTGTGCAAGTTGAACAAAATGAAAAACATCAGTTACCATCGCTATCACAGCTTAAAAGAACCCCCAAAAATTGCAACATAAAAGGAAAAAAAAACTTGTAACAAATGCCGCCTTTGTATAAAAATAAAGCAAGACAAAATAAAAAACCTTACCATAATAGCTAAAAAAAAAAAAAAAAAAAAAAAAAAGTGGGTCTTTGGATCAAACCATAATATTTTTAAGGCATGTTAGAAAAGCGTCCACATATCTAGTTGCTAGTCTGATCAGGGCATAAAATAAATGGTGACACAAGGTCACCAGCTTTTCTCTGTAGCCACTATTATTTCATGTGCCAACAAATGCAGTCTTCCGGTTGTGAAGCTTTTTATTAACATCTCAACAGACACACTCATTCACACCGAGTCATAGTCATACCAGGCAAAATACCAACAGTAGGAGCACACGAGGGTTTCCCTGGTTCCGGACTGGATCTCTCTGACGCTTTGTCACTAAATATGTAGGAAACTCTGTGATCAGGTGGCCCAGTCAGTTATTATGAACATCGTCACAGTAAAAGCCCACCTTCTGTCGGACACAAACACTTCTAACTAACACCCCCATTTTTAGATAATCTTTTCCGCCTCATATTGTGTCATACCTTTCATATTGTGAAACTTATTTTTTTCGTCTGCATAGCAATCCGCTATGTAAGACTGTAGAATTTTTACAGATGTTTCTAATATTGTAATCTGAGTTGTCATACACTGCTATTACATGTGGAATTCTAAAAAACAGAATCATTCTGAGAAGTTAGAGGCTTCAAAATTCAATCAATTCACTAACAAATATTTCTATTTCAGGAGAAAAGTCATACAGACTTCCTGAACCTTTGATTTCTCTACATGCTGAGTCAAATCAACTTTTACACAAGGAAGTTTGTTCCAATCAAATTAGTTAGAGGTTTTTGTCCTATAAACAAGGTGCTTCATAATTGGGATTTATTGAAAAAAACCATGTACAGAAGAATGCAAACATTCACAATTCAAAGACTTTTGACCACTGCGGCCTGGTTTTATCCACATACCTGTTTTCTCATCAATGAGAAGTTACTATCCACCTTTTTTCTATTCTTTAGGCTTAACACCAGTTTACTAAACACTTGGGGCGGGGACAGTGGGCTACCAATGATTTCAGCGATGTGTAAGAAACACTTAAATAATTTAAGACGAAAAGATGTTTTTGATACACTATATTCTGCAACACAGATTCTCAGTATAGGCAATTATCTCTGATTTGTGCCAAGTTCTTAGGAACAATACACACACATGCACACACAAACACACACTATTCTCTCAGTTACACACGTTAAGACCAGAGGTTACTTGCACTAGAGTGTGAAATCAACAGAATGTGGGGCGGCATGTAGACCACAGGCTCAGTGATATTGCAGTTCTGAAGGCCAAGTTTATCCCCAGAGAATCAGCTCAAGGTACTCTGTTTGTTTAGCATTTGGAACTCTGAAGTTAGTTAAAAACCCTTCTACACTTGATTGTAAAACTTACGCATAGGTTCTTCCTGGGCTGTTAGTCATGCAAATGACAAATACTTCGTGGCTATGAAAACCACAAGTGTCAGAGCCTGAGCACCTTTTCCAAACAAAATATTCTCTAGCCTTATTTGCCACTTCAGTAATCAGGGCAAAACTGTTACAAGAAAACCTTTATATACTTCTCCAGGAAAATTAAAGATAAAAGATTTTTTTTTTTGTCCCTTATCTTCCACTCTGTAGTTTATGTTCTACTTTTAAGCCCAAATGATTTCACATGGTTATTCACTCTTTTTAAATGCCTGCAATAGAGCTCTGCTACAGCAAACTTGATTTTGAAAGCAGGTTAACCAAGAACCACACCACAACCATAGCCCTTAAAGGCAAGAAGGAATTTGCTGCTTTAACAAACGGAAAAATGCGAGATATTTGTACTGTCCTGTGAGGTTTCTGCACACAGAACGCGGGGATGCAACATGGCTTCATTTTCCTTACATGATGGTACTAGTTAATCTATGACTAGAACCCTTTTTGTTAGTAAGGCTGGGCAATATCTTTGCATCACAGTTGCTTCCTTCTTGTTCAGTAAAGTAACAAAGACCATACCTGCTTGGTTAACGGGGGTGGCTTTGGGGTTTTAAATCGGATCGAACCCTGGTGAGGGCCTCCGTATGCTGTGGCAAAGCAGGTAATTTTACACATTCTAAAGCCCAGTTGTATTTGTACACAACCTGTTTGGACTTTTGCTCTATCGAGGATGGATGCAGGAATTAGTTCGGTGTCACAAATGAGGATAACATCTACAATTAAGCATCGCTTTTGAGAAACAGAAATGTGCCAGCTAAGCAAAGAATCTCTCCCTGTAATGCTGTCGGCAGAGCAGCTATTATCTTACTTGACGGAATACAGTGGTCAGAAGCGCTATCTCAATTCCTGAAATTCAGTACTCTCATAGGAAAATATTTCTCCTTTACTTATTTTTTTTAAAAGAAGATAAAATATTTTAATTGCAGTGGTCCTAGGAATCCTTCTGGTTTCTCTCTCATGGTTATTTTTCATTTATACAAGAGTTGCTTCGGTCAGCTCGGTGACAATGCCATCCGAGCATTCAAAGGCGACCACCCTGTCGGTTGACTGGCTGTGACTCGAAGCGGCAGGTGCGTCTAGGAGACTGAGGACAATGGCGAAAACTGTGGTCACTGAACCCAAATGTTACTCAGGGATGTCAACGGACAATCACTGCTGGGTTCTGGGTAAGGGCTGCTGTTTCACGGTGGATTCGCGTCACACAGCCCGTGGACTCCGCAGTCGAGTAGACGAGGTTTGTGCCGCCTGTGATGGCAGGCAGGTCCCGTCCGGGAGAGCCTTTTTTGAATGCTATTGGATGTTACATGCAGAACAGCACGGGTCATCTTTGTCAGGCTGCGCGGCATAGTTCATTTGCCTCACGATCTCTGCAAAGAGTTCGTCCACCATTGTTTTACTCTTTGCGGAGGTCTCCATGAAGGGGCAGCCCCACTCCTCTGCGAGGGCCCTGCCTTCGTTGGATGACACCTCCCTCTCGCTCTCCAGGTCCACTTTGTTCCCAACCAAGATGACTGGCACTTTCTCATACCTGGGAGAGAACAAACAAAGCACACACACGTTCTGAAAGTTAGTACAAAGTTCAAGAGGTAACAGGTATTTTCTCCTTTTGGGCTATATTCTACTACAGATATTCTCTTTAGTTGCATGAAAAATCATGTGCCCCACACACTTGACATCTACCTGAGGGCTTTTAGAAGCTGCTCCCACAGTGGGTCATAAGTGGGTTTTCCAAAATGATGTTTTCAATTAAGCAATGACACTTCCTTTAAGGTGCACTCTCCCTCCGGGGAGCATGCCTATGCGTTTCTTCTGTCTCGGGTGAGCATCTGAGTCCCCATGAGACTTGCAACCAGGAGAGCAGCGGGCAGAGCAGCTCACCCCAGGAGAGCCCCCTGAACCTGTCTCCAAGGCCTCTTTACCCTGACTTTCCAGCGAGCCAAGGCAGCCCCCCTCCGGCCCACCGCTGTTGCTGCCTCTACTCCTGGCTCTTCCTTGTCTCACTGTCCCCAGCTTTAATAAACGTACTCTCAAAGTTAAAAAGAAAATCAATTTACCTTTCCAGATATACTTGGAAAATTATTCTCAGAATAAATCCTCTTAGATAAACTTAAATATTTTTCACTATAAGAGATGCTTACTCAAAAATTTCACTTGAAGGGGTAATAGCCCTGCTGAATAAACAATCTGTAATTGTCAGCATTTTTACTATGCTCTGCAATATACAAAACTAATCATGTTCTAAAGGTTCCTACATAAGAAAAAAGCTGGTAGAAATTATTAGGATGGAAACCATCAAATGAAGCTACACTCCATCCCTTCACAAAACTTATCCATTGGCCAGCTGAGAGGTAATTATGGTTCTTCCAGCCTGGCAAGAATTAAGCATTTTAATCAGTAGCTATATTTGCTGTTCTCTCCCTTTCCTTCCTAATGAGATAGATGTGCTATAGAATGAATGTTTGCGTGCCCAGCCCCCCAAATTTACATGTTGAAACCTAATTCCCAATGCAATCGTATGTAGGAGGTGGGGCCTTTGGGAGGTGACTAGGCCATGAGAGTAGAGCCCTCAGGAAAGGGATTAGTGCTCCTGTGAAAGAGACACCCGCGCCCCTCCAGCCAGTGAGGACGCAGCGAAAGATAACGCTGCCAAACTAGGGAGGTGGGCCCTCACCAGACACTGAATGGACCACAGCTTTGATCCTGGACCTTGCAACCTCCAGAGCTGCGGGAAATTCCTGTTGTTTAAGCCACCTCATCTATGGTATTTTTGTTAGATCAACCAGACTAGATGAACATGTCTCTGAGTGAACATGCTTGGTCAAAGCTAAACTAATAAAGATAACAAATATGGAAAGAACAAAGCAAAAAGGCCTTAAATCACTTTGGAACCTAAAGATGATTCTTTCTACAATGGTTACTCACTGTATAAAAATACATGGTGTTACTTTGCATATTTATCGACTATTCTTATTCGTTTCTTCTAAGAAATGTTGATAATATATTTTCATAAAGCTATCAGTTTCACTTTTAACATCATTTTAAAAGCTTTTTTGTGATTTTAATATAAATGAATGTGTGTGTGCATGCGTGCCCGTGCTCCCCCTAAACAGAATGTTTCTCTAATTTACAAAAGGAGCAAACTGCAAAATTGCAGACAAGTGATAACAAATGTGACTGGACACAGCTAAATTGGTTAGAAGAGAAACCTACACAGTGAAGACTGGTGAAGCAGGAGTCATACAGAATTTTTATCATCCAGGAAAAACAGGCAGGTAGTTAATGTTAGTGACACTAGTTCTACAATTTCATCGTCTGTTCAAGACGGTTCTCCCCACTCACCCGAACTTGTAAAGCAAACTATATTCCCAACAGAATCTCTTTTTGGGGGGCACTATGTCAAACCAAGAGTGGTCTCAACATGAGGGCATAGTATAGGCAGTGTGCCCTTTAGCCACCTGAAATATAAAAACATCTTAAAAATAAGTGGGAAACAACATTCAGGGTAAGGCCTAGAATTAGTTTGGATATTACCATCTTGCAGGAAATGCGTCTGGACAACTCCAATTTATATCAAAGGATTTATATGTATTTACTGTGTACCCACTATGCCTATGCTTTGTGGCCTCAGATCACACGAGAGCTCCGAACACGCCACGCAAGGGTTTTACACGTCTTCTAGGGCTCTTACACGCAATCAGTTGTGCCTCCCTCTCGGCCTTGGGGCGGACACAAGGCCCTGAGCGTGGAGCTGCATTACCGACCCGGCACAGGAGCTGGCCCGCGCATGCGCCCTCCTGACCTGCCGCCCGGAGGCGCTTCGCCCGCAGCCAGCACCGCCAGTCACGCCAGGACCGGGCCAGCTCCTATTGTTTCACTCGTCAAGATATAACTGCATTTCATTTTTCTTTTGGAAATACATGAGGATGATTACATAATGTATTAATAAATAAAACTAGCTCTTTGAAGCAGCTCTGCTGAGTGCCTTGAATGAAACATCAGAAATACTGGCTTGAGTATCACTTAGCTGTGAAATGATGGGCTCTCGGTGAGGCAGCTTTCAAAGTATGAGTAGTTGAAAGAATCTGCTGTATTTATCCATCGATCTTATGTTTTCTCTATTTTTAACTGTCCTGATATGTGTATATTTGTTATATATGTGTGCATATGTATTTTATTTTGATTGCCTAAACTTGGCTGATCATCAAAATAACTTGATAATTAAAAAAAAAAATACTGATGTCCAGGTCCTATTCCAGCTATAGAATCTGGATTTGTGGGATCAGGACCCAAGAGCCTATTAAAAATGTATGTAGAAGCACTAAAGACTAATTTAGTCTTTAGTCAGCAGGGTTTAGGAACAACTGGCCTGACCTACCACCGGGTGACCCCCGGCAACTGTGCAGGCACCTGGTTCCTGGCTTCAGTGTGGCAAGCCCAGAATCCGTTCCTTCTTCCTTTCATTGACTCACCAACAGGACTATGTAGACGGACACCGGTGCTGGCAGTGCCTTCAACTTCCTGTTCTGGGTGCTGCAGTGTAACATTACGAGGCCATCCTGCGCATGAATTTTATCATGCTGTTTCTGTTACTTTTTCACACGCAGCTTGAAATACAATTCTCTTTGAATTCAGAAATGAGAATCAAAAAGATTTCTCTAGGCCCCCTTGTTCATTCAACCCTCCACCCGATGTTAAAAATCTCGCCTACTGGGAGTCTCAAGGCAAGATGTCCGAACACTCCATGCGTCGATCACGCCCATGACCACCTTTCCAAACGGTGTGTCGAGCACCTGCAGTGAAGCCACACTTGCATCTCTGGCTCCCCATTTGTCCTTTCTGCCAGTTCTGTCAAGTGCTGGTGTTAAAAAGTTCACCCCTAGCTAATGAGTGAGCCGCAATCAAACATCTGGTCCTTTCTTCTCCTAGTTTCTAGTGCTTTTATCCTTTAGAATATAGAAATCTTTTCTCCAAAATGAAAAGAGGGTTTCTTCCTTTTCTCCCTCCTCAAACTGAGTAATATTTAATAATTTTTTAAAAATCTCTGAAAATAAATAGGTAGAGATGAAAATAAAAAAAACATTCTTACTCTCACCTCCATTAGAATAGTCACTATTACTACTTTGGTGTATAACCTTTCAGACTATTTTTTTATACCTATCTATATAAACACAGATATACATTTTTGGAAAAAATATCATACCTATTTTGTTTACTAGTTTCAATTTTCATTTATTATTACGGAGCTTTCCATTTCAATATATGTTATGCATTATGTTAATGGATAAGCAGTATTCCATTTTATAGAATCTATACTCTACCTGTACCATAATTTAATCATTCCTTCCCCATTAATTCATATAAAGAGTTGCCATGCCCTCATTTTTTTTCACCTACATAAACAACAATTTGAAGAATTACACCTAGAAGTGTGATTTTTGTCTCAAAGGTACACATAGTAAGTGTGTGTGAATGTGTGTCTGGCATATCCTTTGAATGAGAAAAGTCTCATTTCTAGGTTCGTTCATCAGATTGCTGAGCACACACACAGAGCCTCAATGGACATCCAGAAATTTATACTAAAACCACTCGTGCTGAAGTTAACACTCTTGGGATTGATATTTTTAATTTTTCAATAAAGTTTTATGGCAGTTCTGAAGAAAACACTGTTTTTGGCTGGGAGCTGAAGGTTCCTGCTACAGCAGGCTAGCGTAAAACATCAATGCTTCTTGCAAGGAAAACATGAGCTAAATAAGGCTGCCCTCCTCGTCTGAACTGACTTGAAGTGACTAAATATTTTATCTTAAAGGGCATTTCTGGTAATTTAGCTTGAATAATAAAAGGAAATCACACATCTTTTCCTCTGACTTTCTCTTGGCTTCTGAATACATAATGAAGAACAACAGAGAGAAACTGTAAATGTAATGTAAAAATTAAGTAAGGAGAGTAATGATACTAAAAAGATATTCAAAGCTCTCAGGGATAGTGCATACCAATGTAAATAAAAATAATCTGCTTTCACAGAACTTAAGAGTTGAATTCCTGACAGTATGATTGTGAGGGACCAGCTGATCATGACTATACAACTAAGGCATTTTTAATGTCATTCTAAAGTCATCGAGGGTGCTTGCCCTGGCAGCACACGTTTTAAACCTGGGACGACACAGAGGTGATCGGCATGGCCCCTGAGCAAGGACCACACCGACATGCAAATTCATGAGGCGTTCCGTATGTTTAAGACTATCAGCTGACTTAACAGGCCAAAAGGGCGGGCCCAAAATATTCAAAATGATGAAAAGCAAGGACGCACAACCAAGATTACTCTACTCAGCAAAGCTATCATTTAGACTTGAAAGACAGATAAAGGACTTCCCAGGCAAGAAAAAGCTAGACTTCACCACCACCAAACCAGCATTGTAAGAAATGTTAAAATGTAAAAGGATAAATATCATGAATAATAAAATGGCAATAACTACATATCTATCAATAATCACTTTAAATGAAAATGAATTAAATATGCCAATCAAAAAA